TGTGCATAACTTCAAATAACTGTTATGATGATCAATAATATTTTCGGTCGTACACGTAGGAGTCACTACAGACAATAGTCTCTGATGGACCTCATGCAGTGTTGTGCTGGAGGACTAACGTGTACATCTTTTCATATTCACAATTCTCCACAGTTCGCAAGCAAATAAATAAAGGAATTTGTCTATCAATCTGTTTGTTCCTTTTGAGTTAACGCCCTCAGTTGAATGTTAATATTCCTTCAAAAAAGCGCTAAGGATTTGCGTTCGGCCTGTAGAACACTGGTCGTCTTTGTTGCATTTCAATTAATGCTAATCATTAAACACATTGATTGAATGACTTGTTTCAATGCTGCTCACAAGACTCTTGTGATCTATGCACGATATTGTCTTCTCATCATCTCTATTTATCATACGTGTTCAATCGTTCCGTGTACCGTAGTCGTCTTTTACTATTTTATCTCCATTTTCTTGTTAAAAATGTCGTATTCCATAAACATCGTTTTTCATCATTTATATTGTTTTATCTCTATGGTATCCGTTCTCACGCAGCGTGAACGACTTCTTCGAGAACAGCTGGAAAAGAGCTCAAGTTTTCCAGATACTCAATTCATATTTCAAGTTCCTGCCCAATTACTTCGTCATTGGCGTGTCTATCGAAAACACGTGTCATACACGACCAATTACGAACTGATCGACACAATACTACTCAGTCGAAGACCATCCTCGAATGATCCGATTATTCCAGTTAAACGATCTATCAAACGAGTTACAACCTCTGGAGGGGTTTCAAACACCGCTACCGGCCGAAACACGCGTGATGCATCGTTTGATGTCGCTTATCCTCGCAAACCTCCGACCACCGACCGGGAATTAGGACCGCAGGATTTTGAAGTGCATGCCACAGCTAGTCCGGATCGGGCGTATCGTCAGTCCGATGTTCCACTGGTCGAATTACAACATTTAGAAGAGGCAAATCTAATCACGCAGCCATTGATGGATGGTGATGCAAGCGGTACACGGGTGAGAGTTCCTTTATCTTACTCCATCTACCCTCCAACTGGTTAATGATCTTGCTTCAGTAAAGGAGAGAAAGGAAGATTTTTCAGTTCCTTGTTCATACTTTGCCATTCTACTTTGATATCAATCACTTTCGTTGTCACTCTGTTCAATAGTATGTTTATCCTGTTAGGGCTTTAGGCGGTTCACAAATCCCCATAACTGACCAGTCTATGGGTGTCGGTAGCTATTGCTGTTGAACCAAAATGGGTTTCTTCTGTTATCTTATCTGTGGTTTTAAATCCCGGATAAAAAGATGCCTCAGCATCAACAAAGGAAAGTTCGTGTGACTTACATGATCCATACGGTTGGTTTTTGTTTTACAACCATCATGCTGTCTTACCAGAATTTTTTTCTTGTATCTCTGGCATGTCTCTCCATCAAACACCATACTCAACTCGCCTGAATCGCCGCGGACCGTAAAGCATGCGAATTGTAGCGTGCGAAGTATCATTTTTCACAACTCTTGATGTTACACTTTCGCGCACCGGTTTTTGATGATATTTTTCCACTACCCATTTGGTCGCCGGATGAAGGGGTAGATTTGCATAGAAAACGAGTAGACGCACTATCAGCATTGTTAACGACGTTATTATATAAAATTTCTGTAACTTATAATTGCTAAAACCACTGTTCTGCTGCCCTACGATCAAGTTTTACGCAGTGAACTCGTCCTTATTATGTGTTTTTCATCGATACAATCACAAACTCGATAGGTTAAATTAATATTCGCCCGTTCCGGATGGCACAGTGTAAATTCGAATTGTTCCTTTCCTAGAGCGGTCAACTCTCGTGATACATCTAAGCTGTCGAGTACCATGCAACTTAACCGAGGGCAGCGCTCGCGTCTTTGCATTCAACTCAGTCTAACTATAATCGAAAGAGAATCCCAATGTATCGCTTCTGCATTCATTGGAAGTTAGTTTTATTCAGTAAATTGCTCATCCAAAATTACGGTCTCATTCTGTCCAATATACGATTTTCTTTTGGACTGTTCTTACGAAATCTAATTTACCGTTGGATAGGGTAACACTACAGTTAATTTGAATGATGTGCATGGATCAGTTTCTCGTTCTCGACTGTACGTTACGCTATGATTTTTATCTATGATTAATTGATATTGTTACTTGATTACTTATTAACTTAGCTCATTACCTTCCTGTCCCGTATAACAGTGTTAAACAACTCGACTTTTCCACATTTGGCGCTAACGACCGAGTTTTATCAGGGTGCATTCAAAGATCATGCTTTGAACGTGTGTGGTGAATGCGGCAAGTGAATGTGACCTATCAGTGTGGGATACGGCCATTTCTGCCAGCGGTACTAAAGGAGACGTGAATCTGTCATGAAAAAAGCTTAACCCTAACACATAATCGGCCACCCTCAATTTTTTGTGTAACAGCTTGTTCTTTCCATCGAGTTTTGGGCCGTTGTTTTCAAAATTGCGTTGTTTCTAGCCGCGTCGTGTTCGGCTTGTCACGTTTTCACCAAGTTGGTGCTTTTTGTAACTGTGGTCGTATGCTAGTTCCGATAATCGATACTGATAGCTATGGAACTTTTTATTCAAACTAATTTTTCACAGTTTGAATGAACCCTCACATAGCATGAACACGTGGATCATCGTTGGTTGTTAGTCACTTCCATTTATNGGATTAATCATTTGCGATTGTGAAGCGGAAACGTGTTAGCAGCGGTTCATTAATTTTCATCTCTTCGTTTTTTTCGTCCACAGTGAGTTGGCAATTGCATTACTGACAATTCTTCTCTACTGATATCTATTAATTTGTTTAAGGACAAATCAATCGATAGTTCCGTTGCCCCCTTTATCTGCGTTTGACTCGGTCGCCTAGTGTGTGGAACGGACTGGAACAGCCAGTCGAATATGAATGTCTGCTTCTCTCACATTTATCAGTTCCAATCAGCAATAACATTTTCCCAAACGCGAGCTGTTTTTTGCCCTTGTGGGAACTGCTTAGGTAATGGTAAACATTTTCGCCCGGTCCACTACACCCGGCCTAACTTTGACTGGAACGTAACAGTTTACACTACAAGCTCCGAAGCTTGAATTTCCACCAGTGACTAATGGATTCTCTTTACTCATATCAAGCTCCCTGGTTCTGCTCTTCATCACTCGCCAATATTTATTGTAACAATAGCCCAGCGCCATATGTGTATCTAGATGTGTCATAATCGATTAAATGAAGTAATATTCAATCAAGGATAATAATTTTGTTCAGGAGGTATGTTAGGTGATGATTTGTTTCTGGGATTTAAGATGGGATAATTACAATAGGTGATATTTGAGCACCGTAGCCAACTACCGTACCAGACTCACCCTCGTGCGTGAACAAAATGTAGCGATGATAATACCCAATGGAGTTTTCACATATAATCCGGTATGATGAGACAATTAGTTGTACCGTATTGCATCGATTGTGGTAAAATGTTCTAAAAATGCCTCATTTTCCACTTTTTTCAACTAAATTACTACACCTTTTCCCATCAAGCTTTAGCCAAAACCCGCAATCCTTTAGCCTCGACCCGCAATCCTTTAGCCAAAACCCACAATCCTTTGGCCAAAACCCACAATCCTTTAGCCTTGACCTACATTCCTTTAGCCAAAACCCACAATGCTTTAGCCACTATCCGCAGTCCTTTAGCCTCGACGCACAACCTTTGGTCACACCGCCGTAGGCGAGTCAGAACAAAAACTATCGGTATATTCTGAGGTCGACGAATGTTGAAAAAATTTATATTTTACAAATTTTTATATTGCAAAGCTTGACTAATAAATGAGAAGGTGTGACGACCGTATGCCGCGCAGTTGACTGTAGTAACGGTATCAAATACCGCACCACATAGTGATTGGAGTGGGTTTAGACGATGTGCCCGTATCGTCAAACCATTTGGTACATCTCGTATGGCGTCAGTGTTTTCAGTGAACCAGTTTTTACTATACTGAATCATAAGGGAATTAAAAGAATGAAATATCTCACCTGTTTGAATTTACTGAAGACCTCTTCCGATGGATTGAAAAAGGGACTATATGGTGGGAGAAATCGGACATGGTGGTTGGCATTTAACTGCGAATCCAAAGCTCTCCGATGAACGGGCGCATTGTCAAAGATAA